AGAGAGAGAGAGAGAGAGAGAGAACGTTTAGAGCTAGGCTGGGATGCAGGGCAGCAGCTCAGGGGTGCTTCTTTGCAGCAAGAGGGGGACAGCGAAGCATTTGCTCAGGCGCCACCCCTGGACCCGGGACCTTCAGAGGCACCCTGCCCCACTGCCACAAAGGCAGGCCGGTACTCACCCGGCTGATCAGCTGCTCTCCTGTTTCGGAGGCGGCGATGAGCTTGCAGAGGGCCTGCAGGGCAGCATTTGGTAAACCTGCCAAGGGGGAGGCAGAACTTGAAGGACTCGGTTGCTGCAGCCTAGGGTGCTATGGTTACCTTGAGGGGCCCAACGCTTCCCTGGCACTCACCAAGCAAGGACTGGATGGTGCTGCTGCACTGCTGCAGTCGGTCTCCGGGGTCTGCCGTGGGGAAGAAGACAGCTGCTGGAAGCCCACTGGCTGGAGGGTCCAGCCGGAAGCCCACCGCTGTCAGCAGTGCCTGCCAGCCGGGAATGCCGCCAACTTTATTCTCAACGCTCTGCTGAGAGGTGTACATGGAGTTGTGCTGCCCGCTGTGGATGCGCTGTAAGGACTTCTCCACCTAACAGAGAGGAGAGTGGGTGAGCTGCCCAGGCGCCCAAGCGGCACTTCCAGGGGACCCCGGCTCCCTTCGGTGGTGGAATGTAGGGTCCCTGGTGCCCACTGATCCTCCTCACCAGATGCAGCAGGACCCGCAAAGCATCCCGTGCTCGTTCCGGGTGCTGGAGGATGTCAGTCAAGGCTTGCCCAACCAGGGAAGAAGGGCTATTGAGTTTCACGTCGCTGCCGATCAGCACAAAGCCTGAGAGGGAGAAACGGGAGCCTTAGGCCACCCTGGTCTTGGGAAGCAGACAAAGGCTCAAGCAACAAGCTCTGCCCATTCATTTGGCTGTCCCTTGCCCCCTGGACAACTGTTTCTGATCATGTTGGCTGGGTCCCTGTATCACTCCCTGCGGCTGAGTCACCTCACAGCACAACAGTACAGCATTTTTAAGCACGTAGAGTTACAGAAGCGAGGTCATTGCCTTGTATGGCACCCGGCCTCCCTCCCGCTGACTCATAAGCCCCCAGCGGACAGCACAGTGGTTGCCTTCCCCTGGAGGACTGTGACCAGCTCTCCACAGGTTGTCCAAGACTTGCTGCCCCCTCCTTACCTGCCCAGTTAGAAGGATGGGAGAACGGCGTGCTGCTTTGCAGCCTCTTCATCGCCTCACCGAGGGCAGCGCTGGCCTTCAGCCCATTCAGCAGGGCAGAGTAGAATGTATGCACAAACATCTTGGATGCTACCACTGGGACTGGCCATAAGGAAACCAGGACGCAGAGGGCACCAGCAGCTAGGAAGGCCCGTGTCAGCCCAATCAAGCCATCTGCCGTGACCTTGCTGTTGGATTCTTGGTAGGAACCCAGGACCACCAGCTTGACCGGCAAGCGAAGCTCTAGGACATCAGCTGCTGTGAGCAAGAATTCCTGCAGCGGTGGGCAGTCTGAGATGCTCTCCACGTCGCTAGCATCATCCTGCACGCGCAAAGACTCTGGGATGGTGTAAGAGTTTCCAAAGGACCCCTTGCTGCTGGAGGTCATGCTTTCAGCATTGGGCGTCAGGACCAGGGCAGCCAGCTTCCAAGAGATGTGTGTAGCAAAATGCACACATTCAGCCTGCGCCAGCGCACTCATCACTGTCTCCTTGGTTGCTACACTGCCCACCAGGGGCTGGCAGCCAAGCAGCTCTGACACTGCATAGGCCTCCTCTTCAGCCGAGGGCATGGGCCCCCACAGCCACCGGTCCATCACGGAGGGCGGCAGCTTCGGGTTGCCAATGACAGCAGCTGTGGAGGAGTTGCTGCTGTAAGCTGAGGCATTTTTCTTGGTCTGGCCCTGGAAGAGAACCCTTGGCATCAGTCAAAGAGTGGCAAGATTGACAACTCTACCACTCCTATCCTTTTCTCCCAGCCACTGCTACGAGAATCCCAGATTTAGGAGGTCTGCTGGTGATGTACAGCCTCCCTCTGAAGATCTTACCTTCTGCCCCTTGGAAGGAAGCAATGTTTGTCCTGACCTCCTGTGCCTCTCCTGAGCTCTGGGCCCAGATTCATGGACACACCCTGTTTGGAAGCCCTGTCTTCCCAGGAGGGTAAGAAGCAGGTGCAGGCAGGCACAGCGACTAGGGAGCAGTCAGAGGATGGAGGAGCAAACAAAGGGTCCCTCCGGGAGCAGTGGCTGCTGGGGAGCCCAGCCTTGCTGAAGAAGCCTAGGAGGTCAGGGCAAGGAGGCATTCGGGGCCAAATTCAGCAAGGAGAAGCAGGCGGAGACAAAGGGAGCCTGGATCCAAATGGGGATACTCCTGGCTGTCACCACAAGGTCCCAAGGATGTGGGGGAAGTACCCTGGGAGAACAAGGCCCAGGCTGCGCACCTTCGCGGTGGCACTCAGGGCTTGGATGGAGGGCACGGCGATAAGGCTGAAGCGTTCGTACAGATACTCGTTGGATGAGCTGCCCTTGAGAAGAGCAAAGGGGATGAGGTACAGCTCTCCCTCCAGGACAAGGACTAGCTGCCGGTGACGCCCCACTGGGCCACTGGAGTGCATGAGACCCTGTGAAGGGAGAAAAAAGCATGGGAGAGCATGCCCTGTGCCTCTGTGATCAGGAAGAACCCTGGAGCTCCCCTGATATCTGGGGATCTTCCCCCACAACTACATCAGAGCTGCTGCTCCCTCCTCCGTGTCCTTGCTCCCCAGGGGCTCTGACTCTTCAAGTTGGTGCTGATCCCCAAAGCATCACCTTGCACTTCCTGTTGCCGTCACAGGGCTTCGCTCCCTGCGAGGTGAGCCAGGAATGGCAGGCAGATTAAAGCTGCCACACGTGCTGCGGTGACCCCAGAAGGCTGCCTCCTTTCCTCCGTCAGCCCAGGAGGGCACAGCCTTCCCCAGCGCGCTACAAATGGTTAGACTGGGGCCTGTTTGGGGAAGGGCTCGAGCAGTTTCAAGGCATGAGGAGGCCTCTACACGCGAATTGCTCCTTTCAGAGGGAGCCCTCCCTGCCTTCCCCCAAGTCCATGGACAGGAAACACAGGCCAGGTTGCTGCAGCTCTTCTTCCTCCTTAGCCCCAGTGGGGGCAGCTCCACGGAGGCTCTTCTGAGGCCTAGGGTTGCAGAAACCACCTGCCCATCTGGCTGCTCCCCATGGGAAAACCCCAAGCTCTGGCGGGGCCTTTTTCCCAAACAGACCCCAACTCACCCCTTCCAGGGGTCCAATCAGCATGTCATAGAGGGCACGGAGGGGTGGTTTGCTGGAGGAATCCGGCCATCGAGGTAGTGAGGATGTGAGGCCCTCCTCCTTTGGTGTGGAGGATGCGGGGCTGGTGAGGAGGCTGTTCGTGCTCTGGCAGCTCCTGTGGAGGCGAAGGGCACAAGATGGGGGAGGGAAGGCTGAGGAGGCTTGACCTTCCATCCTCCCCCACCGTGGAAAAGCTTGGCTTACCCTCCTACCAGCCTGGCTGAAGTCATGGACCAAGTGGTCCATTTTGAGGTACCTGCTGAGGGGAGGGCCGCCCAACCTCCATGGGTTATGGAGAGCACCTTGGGCAGCGCCTCCTTGTTGGGGCTTGCTTTATCTCCAGATGTCAGCCCCTACCTGTCCCCCCAACAAATAGGGGAAGGCAGCTGGTCTCCAGCTCTGACTCTGAAAAGAACGTGGGAAGTCCAAATGCAGCTGCTGAAGCCTGGAATGAAATCCATCTCCCTGCCCTCACCAGTGGGATCCATCAGATCCCAGCAGATTCATTCAGCTCACAATGTTGGCATCAGCTTTGCTGCAGGGAGTGAGTTGGCCCTCAGCACTGCCAACACCAAGGCCCTTTGGAGCATTCATGATTCTCCTGAGTCCAGTGGGAACAGAGGCTCCCCTGGACTTATCATCCCTCCCTTCCCTCTCCCCTGCTGCTGTTGGTCAGCTGACTTGCTCCAGTAACAACAATCTGGACATCCCAAAATGTCCCTCCTGATTAGGGAGGACCCAGAGCTGAGGACTCCCCAGATGCCCTTCCCATTGCTGGAGCCAGGCACCTTCCCTCTCCTCTGCAGGCATCAGGCTTTGCTCATCCTCCCCCGAAACGCTGGGGGAAGAGCCTCGGGGAAGACCAGAAGTTCCCCCAGGAGGCTGCTGCAATGCAAGGCTCGGGGGAGCCCACCATTTCCTTTATAGTCTTCCCCTCTCCCACTTACTGGTCCCACAGCGTCTGTGGCCCAAGACAGGTGGATCCACTACGTTTGACACACACGGATTTCTCCTGGCATCTCACCTGTTGAAGAGGTTGTTCCTGCTCACCATCCTCAGGAAGCCGGTGGGGTCATTGGAAGAGTTCAGCTTGTTACTCATCTCCTCAAAAGGCTGGTCCATAATGTCTCCTGCTTCACTCTCCGTCTCGCTGCTGGTACAGGCTCTGGGACGAAACAAAGGGAAGAGACATCGACAGAAGCCAGGGTGCCAGGCAGGACCCAACAACAGAGGGGGCCGTGTGGCATCCTGCCTCAGCAGATATTTCCCGATAAGCCAAGGATGGGCAAGGGAGTGGAGGGCACAAGCAGGTCATTGCCAAACTCTACCCTTCCCTGTTAAGGCTCCAAGAAGGCGACAGGGTGACTGCTCCCAAGAGCCTCATCTGGACCTTCCCTCCCAAGACAGTGGCACCCCGCTGGGACTGTGAGCAAGGAGCAATCAGCCATATGGGTCACCTTGCTGGTGCTCTGGGACAAAGCAGCTCTTGGACATCCTGCTGGAATCTTCATGTCCGAACAAGATGCTTTCTGGTCAGAATCTGCTTCTAGTCCATTTGGGGCCATTTCAGACTACAACTGTTCCCCCACTGCTGTTATTTTTGAGTGGCGCTTCAGAGATGGGCGTGGCTTGCGGAGCGGGGCAGCTGTGCCTGGAGCCTCAACCAGAATGGTGGAGATGACAGACCCACTCTCAACCCCAAGCGGGCAGGCTTAGTCAAGCAGACAGGCCCTTGGCGGAAGCATGCCAAACGTCAGCAGCAAGACTTTGGCTGCAGCGCCAATGAGAAGCATCAGGCTGAATAAACAGTATTGTTGGGGATGGGCTTTAATTCATCAACTGCCCCTAAATCTCACCTTCTGCCAAGAGGCCTGTGGACAGCATGTCCACCCCTGCTCAAGAGGCTCCCTTAGCCAGGGAAGCCCCCTTCCCGCTCACCAGCAGACCCAGCCCTAACTGCGGGGAGGGAAGGTGCTGTCCATCTGCAGCAGGAAGACCGCTCCCCTCCCAACCTGCAGGGAAAGGCACTCACCTCACATAATGGGGATCCACCCCCAGGGCTTCCCGCACACTGGAGCTGAGCTGCTCTAGGGCTGAGCCGGCAACTGTATGCAGGCCTGAGCTTCTGTCGTGCAAGTCCCCAGAGTTCCCAGCCAGGCCCTCCCCAAGGTAACATTCGTGGAACTTGAGGATCCCTAAAAGCACAGAGGAGATGGACTGCATGGAGTCCCGACAGTAGCAGACAGAATTGTGACTCTAGAGAAGCTCCCGGGGGCAGGAAAGGTTTCTTGGGCTTTGCTGGACAAAAATACTCAGAACGAAAGGTGGTCAAAGGCGCCCCCGCCCTGGGGGCACTGAGCTCCTCAGATTGAAGCAGCAGCAGACTCTTCTCAGCAACTGGGGGAGAGCCAGCACAGCCCACTCCCAGGCGTTTCCAAGGAGGAGCTGCACTCACAGCCGCCTACCTGCCCCAGGAGCCAAGAGCCAGCTGTACAGGTATCCTGCTGCCAGTGAGTAGTACAGGACCAGCCCCCGCTGGCCATTCACTGTCTCCAGGACCTGATCCACCATCACAGGGGAGTAAGGGTCAGAATCCTGCTGCCCAGTCTGACGCTCCACCAACAGGTCGGCAAAGGCCCTCGTCCGGCCTCTTTCGGCCACTGCCAACGCTTCATCATGATGGCCTGCGAAAGCACCCGCACGTTGCCTCCTCGAAGTGACATTCCAGGGTCAGAGGAAGGCAAGTAAGGGAAGTGGGGGCCCAGGAAGGAGGAAAGCTACGGATCAGCCACTTCTCGGGCACCAGCTGAATTGTCACATACGAGCGAGGTTGCCCAGAAGCTCACCCACAGCAGCCCAGAGAGCATCACCACCCTGATCCCAAAGGAGTCACATCATCCAAACCCCTGCCTTTTCCTTTCCTCCAGAACCTAACCCTTCTCTTACCCAAAGTAACCAGCACTCGTTGCAGGGCCTGATAGGAAGACGTCTGCAGGTCAAATAGTGAGAGCTTATAGTCGACGCTAAGCCGTGCTTCGTGCCGGATGGTCTCAAAGAGGGCTGAGGCCCGGTAGAGCTGTGAGAAGAAGCGGGGGTGGGGGTGGGGGGAGACTTTAGCCAGCCTCTGCTGCTTAGCCAAGGGAAAGCTTGTTAGCAGCTAAGGTGGGTGGTGTAGAGGACATCCCTGCTGGCACCCACTGCCCACCTGATGCTGCGCCTCTTCCAAGTTCCCACTCGCCCAAAGCGAAAGGCCCAAGCCGTGTCGGATTCTGGCTTCATCCTCCCTGCGCCCAAGCTGCTCAGCCAGCCTCAATCCTGCAGGAGGAAGGAGGGAAGGACCTGAGACACCCACCAGCCTCTCGGGCAAGGCCTTTCTCAAAGCAGCACTGTGCTCTTCTACAAACACCAACGGATTCCCTTCCTTTCTTCGCACTTCTCTGCCAACCTCCCCCACCAGTTGGCCTAATTTGGAGCATCCCATCATGATGGAGAAGGTTTCATAATGGTCTGGCTTTGTTCCCCCCAGTCCTTGCAAGGCTGATCAAGGGAGAGTTGAAGCCACACTCCCTTTCTGAGCTTTGAAATGCATTGTTCCTGAGCTGCGTTTCCAAGGCAAGTCTCTGTCCCCAGGAGAGGCATAGCGTGGGAACTGCCACCTACAGCTGAGGTCCTGCATACTCACCAGGGCTTTGGGCACTGAGTCTGTCCTGGTTGCAAGCCTCACTCCACTACTCACCTTCCTGCAAGTACATCACTGCCTGGGAATAGTTCTGCAAGGCGTGGTGTGTCCTGCCCAAGCTGCTGTAGGAGGCAGTTTTGGCCACCAGGTCGTTCATCTGGGCTGCGATGCTAAGGTGCTGCTCCTGGTAGACCACAGCTCTCTCATAAGTGCCTAATGACTCATAGGTCAGACCCAGGTTTCCATATGCCCGACCTTGACAAGCCGGATTGTTGGTTTCCTCTGCAATCTGGAGGTCCATCTGGTGGTACTGGAGTGCTGTGTCATATTCTGCCATCTGCTGGTAGACACTGCCCAAGCCACATGCGGCACTCCCTTCCAGGGCCTGATCCTTCATCTCCCGTGCAATGCCCAACTGACGCTCAAGGCAGGAGATGGCCTGTTCGAAGTTGCCCAGCTGGCTGTGTAGAGTGCCCAGTTCTCCATAAGCCTGGGCTTTATCAAAGGCTTCTCCAAGCTCATGGGCTACCACAAGCCTCTTTTCGAAGCAAACCAGGGCCTGCTGCAAGCTTCCCATTGCCCTATAGGAGACAATGCCGGGATTAGCCTTTTTCTCCTCTCCACCCAAGCCCTCTCTGAGCAAGCCACCCATCCTAGCATTAGCTGTTCATTCAGCATGCCTAGGGCAGCAGCCAATCCTAACAACGGGGCACAGCGAGATTGATGGGCTCTGCCAATGTCACCTCCCTCCCCAAAGAAATGCTTATACACGCTCCTGTCTTCTCCACCCAGCAATGAGCTTTCTGCAGGCCACTTCCTTCACCCTTCCTCTGCCCCCAGCGTGTTCATGAGAACCCCTCCCCTCACCTGTGCCCATTGCCTAGGCCTCGGTAGGCCTTCACCTGGTCCTGCATCCGGCTAAGGCTCTGGGCCACAGACAGGTACTGTTCATAGTATTTGACGGCTTCCTCGTAGTCACTCAGTGCTTCGTAGCAGTCGCCCAAGTTCCCAAAGGCCCGGCCTCTGTCCAACACAGCCTCACTCCCACTCAGCTGCTGCAAAGTGGCCAGTTGTTGTTCGAAGTAGCCAATGGCCTCCTCGGTGGCGTTCATGTTCATCTTGGTGATACCCATGTTGCCATAGACCTGGGCTTCAATGCCAGGGTCCTTCAGTTTCTGGCTCACCTCCAGCTGCTCCTCGTAGCCCTTGAACGCCATTGTGTACTTGCCTAAGGCCATGTAGACTGCAGCCAGGTGTCCATGTGCCTGGCATTCACCCAGCGTCTCACCCAACTCTTGATATACCTCCAGTTCCTGCGTATGGTAGCCCAGTGCCTTGTCGTACTTTTGCAACAGACGGTAGGCTGAGCCCAGGGCCGCGTAGGCACTCGCCTCCAGCTTCCTGTCTGCAACCTGATGGGCGAGGCTCAGCTGCTGCTCGTAGAACCTGATGGCACCGCCCACGTCTTTCTTGCAGACTGCAATGTCACCCAGGTTGCCCAGGGCCCGGAACGTGGCCTGGGGGTTGTTGAGAGACTGAGCGAGGGACAGGAGGTACTTCTGGCACTCCTCTGCCTTACCAAAGTTGTCCAGGGCTTTGAAGGCCAGACCCAGGTTGCAGTACGCCTTGGCTTGGCTGAGCTTGTCATGCAAGTCCTTGGCGAGGGCCAGGTCTTGCTCGTAGTACTTCACGGCATCCTCATAATTGCCCAGGCAGTACTGGGCGTAGCCAAGGTTGTGACAGATTTTGCCTTCGTTCTCCATGTCCTGCAGCTCTGGGGACAGCTGCAAGTATCGCTCATAGTAAGGGGCTGCTTGGGCAAACTCACCCCGGGAGCAGTGGAAGTTTCCCAGGTTGCCCAGAGCTCGGGCCTCACTCTGGATGTCCCGCAGCTCTCGGGCGATGTTCAGGTGGTTTTGGTAGTGCTGAAGGGCCCGATCGTGGGCACCCAGAGCTTGATAAGCTACTGCCAGGTTGCCGTGGGTAGAGGCCTGAGAGGCCCGATCGTTCACCTCCATGGAGATCTGCAGCTCCTGACGGTGATATTTGACAGCATGGTCAAACATACCCAGGGCGTTGTAGGCATTGCCCATATTGCCATAGGCCCTCCCCTGGGCTGCGTAGTCGTTCAGCTCCTGTGCAATGGAGAGGTGCCCCTTGTGCAGCTTCAGGGCCATCTCATAGTCCCCCTTCATCTGGTGGATGATCCCTGCAAGGAAACAGCAAATGGCTCGCTCTGCTCTGAAGGCTGCCCCTCCTGGCCACGTTCAGGCCAGCAGGTAGCCAGAAAGGAGGACTCCACCAGCACAAGGGGAAATGACACGGCCCAGATGGGCATCTCCTGCACCCTCTGGGCAGGATCCAGTATAATCCTGACGACTGGTTGCCCTACAAGGTCCTGCATGCTTCTTGCTGGCTAGGAGAGGGTCAGCCAGCAGAAAAAGGACAGCCGCCCTTTCCTCTCTGGGCCAAGAGGGAGGTCAAGAGAAGTTTGGCCTCTGCAGATAACAGATCTACTGCAGCTTGGCTTCCATTCCAACTATTTAGGTGCATTGGTGACCCTTCTGAAGGACGCCATCAGCCCTGGGTTTGCGTCAGGGACGAAAGCCAGTGGAGCAAAGCAGCCCATTCCTCTCTCAGCCTTGGAAGTGCCTTCACTGTGCTTGGGCTTTGGCTACGCCTTCTGCCTGGGCTTCCTCAAGCGAAGCTCTTGCTGCCACCCCGCACGGTGCACCTTCACCGCTGGGCCCCCTCAAGCTTCGTCCTGGGGTGTCCCCAGCAGTTGTCACAGTGCTTCACGGACCTACCAGCACATGTGCCAACAGACACCCGGCCCCAATCCCTTGCCCACACTGCCTTCCTTGCTCGTGGAAGTCCCTGGGCCAGCATCTTCTCTACTCGTTTCAGCAAAGGGGAGGAATCACACCACCAACAGTCTTTGCATGCACTTTGGGGCTATGTTTTGATCCCAGGGCAGGAGGCGCTTCTCCAAACTGACAATGTTAAGCTAGGGGAAGGGGCAAAGAATCCCGAGTTGGATGAAACCCGAGCACCTGCCTTTCCAGGCCACACCGGCGGGGTCGGCAGGGGGCTGAGCCATGACCGCCTGAAGACAACTCATACCCAGAGAGTCCCGGGGCAGATTGCCAGGAGAGAGGTTCTGTCAGCCCCTGGTCCAGGGAGGGATCCAGACTGAACATGCAAGATCACGCTCTTGCGATGGCGGCGCAGGTCAGGACGAGCCATTCTCTTTCACCTAGGTTGGAAGACTAGAACTAGATTGGAACTCTCACCTAGATTGGAGGAGGCCCGGCCCTCCGCAGCTCGATCCTGCAGGCTCTCGGCGATGTGCAGCTGCTCCTCATGATACTGCTTGGCCCGCTCTAGATCCTGCATGCAGCGGGCGGCGTGACCCAGCCCGGCGTACGCCCGCATCTCAATAGGCTTCTCCTCCAGCTCCTGGGCGAGCTCCAGGACATGGTTGTGGTAAGACATGGCCTTGTCAAAGTTGCGGTGGTAGTGGTAGGCACTGCCCAGGTTGCTGTAGGCCCGGGCCTCCTCCCGCTTGTTGCCCAGGGCCTTGGCGATCCTCAGGTGCTGCTCGTGGCACTGCACAGCATTCTCAAAGTCGCCCATGGCGATGTAGACTGCCCCCATGTTGCCTAGCTCTCGCGCTTCAGAGAGCTCTTCCTTGCCTTGCTTGGCAAGAAGGACACACTGCTTGTGGCTGGCCAAGGCATTGGGGTAGTCCCCGATGGCAGTGTAGACATGGCCAAGGCTGCTGAGGGCAGAAGAGGCGGCCTGCAGGGACAATCCAAGAGGGAGAAGCGGCCTCAGGGAGCTGCAGGCGGCTGACCGAGGAGGTGACTGCCCCTCAAAGCACACCCACCCCAAGAACCAAGACGCAGGCCCTCGAGGGCCGCCTGCTCGGGGAGAAATAGGACCATTCCCCATCTCAGGAGCCCGGCCACAGAGTCTGGACGCCAAGGATGCAAGCCTTGCAGAATCCTTCTTGGGAGGACTGCCAGCCTCCTATCGCAGAGCTACTCGGCCCACTGTGGCAATGGAGGCAGAGAGGAATGAGCCAAGAGAGCGCTTCCTCTCCAAGTCCAGGCAGGCAAAGCTTTCCCAATGCCCATGGCTTCGGGCGAGCCGACTGTGGTTGTCCCACACAGGGATCCTCCTCCCCCTGCAGCTCTGAGTCATTTGTGTGTCTATCAGAAATGTTTATGCTGCTACTGATTCAGGCTCATCGTGGCTGTGAGTCAGCTAAGTCTTTCCGTTGCACTGGCTTACATTAACAGACCCTTCAGGGGGAGCTACTCATCCTCTAATTTGCCCATTTGATCCATTGCTTCTTGCTTCAAAGGCTCTCCGAGGGCACCCCTTTTGTCACTGAGAAGGCACGTAAGCATGGCTCTGCTTCAGAAAGCAAGGCTGGGTCCCACTGCATCACGTGCACAACGCAGCCAGTGCCAAGGATGCTGGAGGCCAGATGCCACAGCGGGAAGGCGGTGACAGCAGCTCTGCCCTCCTCCTCTGCCCTCGCTCCTGGGCTAAGGAAACAGTTGGCCTCTCCTGGAGGAATGTCCTCAACGGCCTGAAGCCAGGGAGATTACCGCCAGGCCCTGCAAGCTTTGCACTGAACGCACCGAGCTCTGACCTGCGGGGATCGCGTGCCCACAACCTCCAAAGTTATGAGGATTGCAGTCTAATTACAAGAAGTGACACCTGCGAGTTCACAGGCCTCCTTGGGCCATGATCTGAGGCATGTGCCCAGAGCCGTGGAACAGCTGTGCCATGCTTGCTCCAGCCCCGACGGGCCCTCCCCGCTATTAGCACACATTTCTGAGCCATCTTCCCTTGCCCAAGAGATCCCAGCAAGCACCAACCCAGACGTTACCAGGCAAGCCCCTTGGGCCACGCAGAGCCATGCAAGGGGCAGGGGAGTGGGGGACACAGTCTGCGGACCACGCAGATCAACACCTGCCAAGGTTTCCTCCTCTTCTGCACGGACTCGGCCGTGAGGGAGCTGCTGGAATCTGGGCATCTTGTGCCATGCTCAAGCTTTCCAAAAGGGTTACAGTCCGACACAAAGGCACAACGGTGGAAGGGGAGCTGGTGAAGCAAGCAGGCTGAACACAACCCCACACTGACTATTCCCCGCGGTAGCGCCAGAGCCATCTAGGCCCTGGCTGGGAAAGAGACCCGGAGGAGCAGAAGGCAGTGCCTGCCTAGGCAGGCGCTCTTGGACAGATGTGCTGTGGCCAAAGGGAGAGCAGAACAGGACTGCTGGGCTGGGGGAGGACAACTGGCAGGCCCCTCTCTGTTCGATGGCCACAAGGGGTCTTGCTGCCCCCCTCCCCCGCGTCCTCCCCAGCAATACCAGGAAGCAGCCTCTGCTGCCAGAACCTTTCTGTTTTCCAGAGACCCAGCCCTGGAACGCCAAAGGGCTGCGGGCATGACCACCTCCCCCTCCCCCTCCCCTGCATGCTGGCACCCACCTCTCTCCCGGGCAACCCCTCCTTCTATGAGAGCTGGGTTGCAACCCTGCCTTGCTCCTGCTGCTGTTTTCAAAAGCGGGGTTGTAATCAAGTGTTTCAGAGAGCAAGAAGAGCAAGGCGCACGTTCCCCCCTCCCCTTTCCCAGCTTAAGATCTGCCCTGTCCTGCTTCCTGAAGCTCTATGTCCCTGGTTCTTTTCTCCTGCAGGCAAGATGCTGGAAGAGCAGCCCACCACCCTTTTTCTGCTGCACACTTAAGTCCCCCTGAAAGCACAGCAGATGACCTGCTGGGCCCCCCAGCCCAGAGGATGCACTAACCAGCCAACACTGGGATCCCTCTGCACATCCATCGGTACAGCTGGAACCCCTTCCCCTCCTTTGGGAGACCCAGAGTGTTGGGGTGCTGCATCTGTCAGGTGCCTGCAGCTGGGGTCTTTATTCCTGCCACTATCCCTGGGGGCAAAGCTGTTGCCTCCTTACAGGCTGGCACAACACGGACTCTTTTCTGGGGGAATTCACATTAGCGCTGCGGCAGCTTAACTGCAATTATTGGTGGGGGTGAGGGGCGAGCCAAAAGGAACAGTTGTGAATTCAGAGGAAGCCTGTGGTCAGGAGGCCTCATCAGAGAACACCCAGGTAATTATCTCAGCCGCCTCCACAAGAAATCCAAGTGGCTATTTGTGGTCCGTAGATCTTAATCGTAAACCCAGATGGATTATAAATGGAAAGAATGTGGTGCCTGGGCAGAGCCCTGCTCCACCAGTGAGCCAAAGGTGCCAAAGCCAACATCTAACCCTAACCCTTGCCAAGGAGACTGCACTGCTCAGCACCTCTGCGCAAGAGACAGCCCTGCACAGCGTGGCTTGCTACCCAGTGCCCATATCACCTTCTCAGCACCCGCTCCAGGGCCAGTGCTGCTGTGGGATTCCTGCCCAGCTTGTGCCAGGGCCACCCTGGGTCTTCTGTCAGGCTACCTTCACCAGGCCTGAGATACCTTTGGCATTCAAGGACAGGCCAGCTCTGCAGCCCTGCCTCCGTGTTTTTCATGGCAGAGGGCTACCTCGAGCCCCTGCTTGCCTCTCCTACCTCTCGGTCCTTGAGCTTCATGGCAAGCACCAGCTGGTGTCTGTGGTTAGTCAAGGCCTCCCGGTAATTCCCCTTGGAGAAGAAAGCAGAGCCCAGATTGCCGTGAGCTCGGCATTCGCCCATCTGGTCACCTGGAGGACAAGCAAGCAAGACCCAGGTGTGAGCCGGAAGGCCGCTTGGGGAGGCTGCCAGGTAAACTCCACCCTCTAGCGCCCAGCAGTCCTGGAGCAACACAGAGGGGCGCCACCAACATCCTAGAGAGTCTTTCCTTTCAGACCCAAGCCCCTTCGCTTGGCCTGGCCAGCCCACGGTGGCCTCCAAATGTGTTTTGGCCCACCACAATGCTGCAGATAGCCCCTGGGCATTATTTCTCTACTGCCTAGAAAGCAATCATTGCGCCAGCACACAAAGAGGGGGCCAGAGGGATGCGCCTGGACTTCCTGGGGAGAAGAGGGACACACACATCCCCACCCCCAGCCATCACGTCCCGGTGGCCACTGCCCCCACGCCCTCAAGATGTAATGCGGCTACCTAAAGTCTTGGCCACGTCCAAGTCCTGCTGCATGTAGCCTGAGCTCTTCTCGGCATTGCCCAGGGACCAGTAGGCGCTGCTCAGGGCAGAGAAGACAGAGCCCCTCAGTTTCAAGCTGCAGGTGCCAATTTTCAAGGCCGCTTCCAGAACCACCACAGAGGCACTGTGATGGCCAGCTGTCAGCAGCTCCTGCCCAATCACGGAGACCACCACAAAGGGGCTCTTGTCCAACTTCATCTTCTGCAGCTGCTGGTACGTTGGCTCGAGGGACTCTAAGGAAGGAGGGAGGGAGACGAGACCAGTTCACACCATCGGGATGGGGACTTGTGGTTCAATTCCCATAATCCCCAGTCAGCACAGCCCATGCTCAGAAGTGGGGCAAGTTGTGATCTGACGAGAGGCCTGCTCTGGCCTGTGGTCTTCCAACCCTTCCTCCTCCGCCCTGGACAAAGAGCACCCTCTTACCTCGCATGGGAGACTTCATGGCAGCTTCCACCATCCCCACCAGGAGCTGCAGGCTCTTGGGATCTTGGGCCAAGCCGGAGGCAAACGCTGCCAAGGCATCGGCGTGGCGCCCCAGGTACTGGAGGGCAACGCCCTGTCGGAAGTAGGCCTGCAACGACATGAGCGAAGATCAGCTGGCATGCCTTGGGCACCTGAAACAGCAGCAGTGGGACTTGGGAAGAGACTCAGTTGTGTAAGCGTGGTTGGAGCCTTTCTGCTTTGGGGCTCCCCCGCTGTAATGGAACAACCACCAGTCCTACAGACAGTCCCTGCTTCAAGACATCCCTTGCTTTCCCATCCAGGCTTGCTGCTTTAATGCCAGGGAGGCCAAGAGAAGTCCACCAGCCAGCACCGAGCCCACATGGACCTCTCTCCTCCAGGCAACTCTTGGGGCCAAAGCTCCTGTAACTTACTACAGATGCTTCCAAGTAAGTCCTTTTATCTAATTTAAGCGAAGGGGGGTCACCTTCCACTTGCAACCCTCCCATGTTTCTACCTTTGCTTTTCCACAGAAAATTAGCCAAGGAAGGAAAAAAACTGAAGAGCTGCACAATCTTTTGAATGGTCACGATCCATACTCAGCCTTGTTTGCGTGCATGAGGCTTCCTCCAGCAAGAAGGCATTAAGCAAACAGACTATTAGGTTGTTTGACTGAATCAGCTTGCTGGAAATGTCAAGACAGGCTAAACAAATAAATGGAGATGGACACAGCAGAATTCATGAGAGGGAAAAGCGCAAAACCCTGATTGCAGCCATCCAGAGAACCCTAATCCCACACAGGTGCACCTGGGGCAGGGCTGACAGAAAGGGGTACGGCTGGCAAGAGCAGGAATGCCTAACCAGAACTCTCCAGCAGAGGTGTTGCCAGGCCGCTGCAGCTCGCATGCTGCCCCAAGAGGGCACATGGCAGACCGCCAAATCCTAGGGTTGGGAGGCCACTTGAAGGTCTCCTGCTCCAGGCAGGATTCAGACTGTCCCAGACACAGGGCCCTCCGACCTGCACTGATGGAGCCCCACGACTCCAGGGGGCAGGCTCTTCTGCCGCTCAGTGGCTCTTGTGGTCAAGATTCCTCATTTCAAGTTTGGATCTCTCTCTGTAAAGCTTCCACCCACTAGTTCTTGTCCTACTCTCGGGTACTAAGGAAAATAAATCCACAGTTCTTCAAGGATTGGTCTGACCAATGCTGCACAGAGTAGAGCTATTACTTCCTATGATCTTGGTTGCAGCCCAGAATCTTATTCCCAACTGCTGCTGCCGAGCCTATCTTGTTTCCGTGCAACTGTTTTTTCCTACCTATGCGCAGAAGCATACAGAATAAGAGGCGGGAGAAAGACCACATCCTAAGCATGCAGGACCCCCCCCCCCCCCAAATTCATGCAAGCATCGGCCAAGCAGCCAATACATGAGAGACTTTCCAGACTAGAGGTGAACGAGCCAGCCCGGAAATCAGGGAAGCAAACGTAGCTAGGTGACAGACACGAGGCATTAACATAAACAACGTCTTTTATCCCGGTGCAACAGATCTGCAATTAACACCGAAAGTGAGTATTCATTAGGAAATTGCGGCTCACTCAGAAGCTGGTCCGAGGAGGCAGAG